CCACAAGCCGGGGGCTCCCAGCTCTTGCACCGTTGTGAAGGTGGTTGAAGAGCCACTGCAGGCAATGAGGTTGCTCTTCATGGCTGGAAATCCCTTGGAGGAACAGCTCCTCCAGCAGCCAAACCTCTTGCACCCTTGGTAAAGATGTCACAGAGCTGCTTCATTTCAAAGTGGGTATTTTGAGACTTGGGCAACTTTTAAATGCTTTCAATCACGTCTTAATGAGATTTCATCATGCTTTTGAAGTCAGGACTGAAGATAGCTAACACGTGACTAATGCATCAGCTACTGGTGAAACAGGCCTGGAAGGAGGCTGGAAATGTTTATTCAATTGACTTGCACTTGATAAAGCAAAGCCGAGCTCCCCTCTGCCCCGAGCAGCTGCAAACAGCTCCTTGAATTCATCTTCAAGGGGGTTTGAGCAGCACTTTGGGTTTCTGGTGCCCCAGGAGCAGGCAGGGTGCAGATAGGAGTGGTGGGGTGGGATGGAGATGGGACCAGCAATAGGCATAAACCCCCTTCCCCTCCCGCATTCCCAGACCCTGCAGGGATGCATTCCTGTGATGTATTCCATGAGTCACCCAGAAATCAGGAAAATCCCTTTTTCCCTCTATTTTTCCTTTTTTCCACACCTCTCACAAAGCTTCTCCCCCTTTGCAGGACCCAACGGTGTTTATGAACAACAACACTCCTCTGGTGAGTAGTGCCATCCCTGGAGAACCCAGGTTAAGGGTGTATTTGGGTGCAGGGGGTCCTTCTTTTAGAGGTGTCTGGAGATCCTCATTTGCTTTGGCATGGACGGAGGATAAATACTTACATATATTCCCTTTGCACTGGGAAAATGAATCTGCAGATGTCCATGGGGTTACTGGTGGTGCGGAGCTCCTCACCAGAAGCCCTGGGAGGGGATGGCGATGCTTCCAGCCAGGACTTTGTGCCCCTTATTTGCTGTTTCTTCCCCCCACAGCTGCTCCCGGAGAAGGAGATGGATTACAGTGAGTGCCCACCGACGCATGGGGAGTGGGGCTGTCCACCCAGGAGCACCCGCTTTGGGGCTGCACACGGGAAGCCCTGCACTGAGCCTCAGGGCTCTATCCTTCCCAGCTTTGGGCTCCTCCATGAAAGAAATCCCCGATCATGGAGAGCAGCTTTGCCTGCCCTGGGGAGGGGGGTCTGCTTGTCCCAGTCATGGGGGTGCAGGGGGGTCTGACCCTGGAGGGAGATGGAACAACCAGGATGGGTCAAGGATATACTGCTGTATGGCGGTGTGGGATGTGGCACAGGTCCCAGGGGCTTTGCATCATGCCCTCATGTCATTGGGAGCAGCTGGAGTGACTCTCCTTCCTTTCCCTTACTGATGGCATAGCGGAGTTCACCGGGCCCCCCCAGAAGCCTCCAAGACTCGGGGCACAGGTAAGACCTCCCTGGATTGGGGCACCATGGTCCCAGTCCTACTCCTCCATCTCCACAGCCTCATTCTGCCTCCTCCACCTCCATCGTCCCCCTGCATCTGCATGATAGCACTTTTCTGACTACCCAAGGCCCCATGGGGGTCAGAGATCCAGCAGCATCAGGGTGACGGGTGGGAGGTGGATGGGTCTTTCCCTCCTTGCCCCCTCGGTCTGTCTGATCCCATTGTGTCCCTGCTCCACAGCAGTCCATCCACCCGGCCCCCACTGCCAACCTGGACCGCACAGATGACATGGTGTACAGCAATGTTATGGACCTAGTGCGGGCTGTGCTGCAGCTGAAGAATGAGATCGGCCTCCTGCCCCCGGAGGGGTACATCCTCGTGGTGAAGGTAGGGAGGACAGGGAGGGGACAACATCAGTGCTTCTATGGGGAATAGGGGAGTTGGGAATGAGTCTGCAGCGTGGTTCCCACCAAGCATCTGTATCAGGAAGGTCTTGCATATACAGGAGGGAGCACTTCCAATATTCCCAGCTCCTCCTTTGGATCCTTGGGTCAATGATGGGAGGGTTTCCAACATGCCCTGCTCTTCCATTGGGTCCTTGGGTCGATACTGAGAGTTATCAATACATCCTGCTCTTTCTTGGTGTCCTTGGCAGAACGTGGGCCTGTCCCTGCGGAAGCTGATCGGCAGCGTCGATGAGATTCTGCCTGTCCTGCCTGCTGCCTCCCGCACTGAGGTAGGTCCAGGGAGGAGGGAAAGGGATCTGGCATGGGGTCATGTGCTGGTAGCATCCCTGTCTGTAACCCCTGCGTGTCACGGTCAGATCGAGGGGACCCAGAAGCTGCTCAACAAGGACTTGGCTGACCTCATCAACAAGATGCGCCTGGCGCAGCAGAACGCCATCACCTCGCTGAGCGAGGAGTGCAAGCGGCAGATGCTGACGGCCTCCCACACCCTGGCTGTGGATGCCAAGAACCTCCTGGATGCTGTGGACCAAGCCAAGGTCCAGGCCAACCTGGTGAAGCTGTGCTTGGAGTGAGAGCAGGGTTGGAGGGAGGGAAGCAGAAGGGGTGGGGAAGGAGAAGAGGGAGAGCATTGCAAAGGAGCTGGCTTTTGTGTCTCCCGTTGCCTCGCCGTCCTGCCCTTCCTGTCCCCGTCCTCCTGCAGCCGCTCGTGTCTTTAGCATCGTCTCGTCGGTCTTCTGAAGAAGGGAGGCATCTGGTGAACGGAAGGGGCTAGGGGGGACCTGGCCATCCCTGAGGGTGGCTGAAGATCCCTTTGGCTCAGCAGCTCTGCTCCCCGGCTGCCAGCAGGTCCGTGTGTCCATCCATCAGCCCCTCCAAGGATGGCCGGCCGCAGGCGGCATGTCGTGATGGGGACCTGGACCCTGCTCCCCACTGCTGGGAGTGGGGGGCTGCGTGGGGGGTTCCCAGGGGCCACCAGAGCGGTGGCTTGAGGGACTGTTTGCATTTCCTTGTACATTGTATAGAAGAGTCTATTTAATGATGGAAAGCAGGTCCGTGCGCCATAGCAGAGCTGCTTCTAGTGCCTGTGGCCAGAGCACGCCCGGCCCCAAACCTGCAGAGCACAGGGAGGGATGGGACCCCATAGACCACAGCCTTCGGTGGCACAAACCAGGAGAGCGGTGCCTGTTCCAGCTGAGTTTTCTCCAAGCTGCTCTGTGTAAGCAATGATGGCAAACCAAGTCTCTGTTCGGTTTGTGCTTTGAGTTGGAAACCGTACGGTTCGGGCTTTTCCCCAGCATCTTCCCACAACGTTGTTCGTTCTGGCTGATATAAACCATGCACAAAGTCCTGCTGTGCCCGCACTTGCCTGTCACTCCCATACAATGGGGACAAGTCCTGGTCACCAGCACCTCCTTAGAAAGAGTAAGGGTCGTGCTGCTCGGAGCTCTGAGCTGTCTTGCCATCATGGGGATGTGCTTGCCCGGTGACAGCATCCCTGGGAGAGCTGCTGGGGTGAACCTGGGTCTGCTGCATCCACATCATCTCTGGAGCCTCATTTCCCTCCTGTGGAGTTCACAATTCACACTGAGGGCTGTGGACTCCCCCAGCTCCCAGAGAAGAACTGAACCATGATCTTATCATAGCATCACAAAATGGTTTGGGTTGGAAGGAACCTTAAAGCTCATCCAGTTCCAGCCCCCTCCCACAGGCAGGGACACCTTCCACTAGACCAGGTTGCTCCAAGCCCCGTCCAACCTGGCCTTGAACACTGCCAGGGATGGGGCAGCCACAGCTTCTCTGGGCAACCTGGGCCAGGGCCTCACCACCCTCACAGGGAAGAACTTCTGCCTAAGATCTCATCTCAATCTCCCCTCTGTCAGGTTAAAGCCATTCCCCCTTGTCCTGTCCCCACAGGTCCTTGTCCAAAGCCCCTCTCCAGCTTTCTTGTCATCCCCTTTAGGCACTGGAAGCTGCTCTAAGGTCTCCCTGGAGCCTTCTCTTCCCCAGGCTGAACAAGCCCAGCTCTCTCATCCTGTCTCCATAGCAGAGCTGCTCCAGCCCTCAGAGCATCTTTGTGGCCTCCTCTGGACTCACTCCAACAGCTCCACATCCTTCTTATGTTGGGGCTCCAGAGCTGGATGCAGGACTGCAGGGGGGGTGCTCATCAGAGCAGAGCAGAGCTCTGCAGAGCACTACAGCCCATGTACCATGTTAAACACATGCATACACACATCCAGCTGCACCTGAGCACTTGCTCTCTCATGCGTCCCATTCCCAGTTGTGCACACCTGAGCCTGCCAGCACTGGAGGCTGCACAAGTGGCTGCAACACCCCCAGGATGTGGTTGTCCCTCTGTGGCACCGTTTATTCCAGCCCATTTCACTCCTGAGAGCACAGTGTTTCCAAACCCCGCAGACCACACTCAGCGCTCCGATGGCTCCGTCTCCTGGAGCAGAAAGCATTGCAGGAATATCTGGTGCCTCTTGGGGCATATAAGGAGTAGATGCTCAGTAAGCATGGGTCCTTCGGGGTATATGGAAGCTAGAGGTTAAAAGCTGGATTGCAGCGGTCATTGGAGCCAGGTGGTTTGGGATCTGATCTGTGGGATAATGTGGAAGCAACCATTTGTGCTGGCAGGTTGCAGAGGGTCTGTCCCTGGGCTGTGCTTTGCAACCCCCATGCCATGTGTCCGAGCAGGGCCCTCCATCCCAGCACCATACCGCTTCTTCATGGACCTTCTTCATGGATCTTCTTCATGAAGTGTTATCACCTGCCCCACATCATGGATGAGCACATGAGCTTGTCACAGTAAACACCCTGCAGTCAGGACGTGTCCTAAAGCGGCTGTAAGGTCCTCTCTTCTTGCCCAGCACACGGGAGTCACAATCAGACACAGCTCTTGGGTTTTCGGTAGGGCTTGGAGCAGCTTGAGGAAGCAGATGCCTCTCTTAGATGACTCCAGCTTGCACTCAAGCAATGGGGAAGCTGTTCCACACCTTCCTCAATGCTGGGATGGCTGCAACTGCCCTGGGCAGGACAGCAGGCAGCCATCCCTCACCATCCCCAGGGAACAGCCCCTGCTTTACCCTACATTTCCTATCCGAGGGTCCTCCATGGTTGCCACCGTGTCCTCCCAGGGTCAGGCTGGATGCGGGCACCACTCTCTGCCATCCCCACCGCAGCCTGGCCCAGCCCTAGATCATCCCTGCCAGGTAGGGTGGGAGGAAGAGCCCCACAGTGCCCAGCATGCAGACAATGATGAACATCCAGAGGAAGATGCGGTCGATCACCATGGCCACGTACTTCCAGTCCTCCTTCACCTGCCGAGCAGAGAGGGGCTGTGAGCATGGGCAGAGGATGCAGGACCCCTTGGGGTTAGGAGAACACCCTGGGCTTCCTCTGCATCTGCTGTGTGCCTCTTGGGAACCCCCTGGTTCATCTGGTCTGGGGGATGGACCTCTCTGCTTGGGGCAGAGCTAATTCCACCCAGGGTTTCCTGAAACCACTTGGGAACAAGCACGGTACAGCCTCTAAGCTGTGTCCCAGCAGGAAGGCTGGGCCACCTCTGCTCCCCAGGGTTAGGATACCACGGGCAGAATAGGGACCTCCAACATCCTCACATCCAGCAGGGATAGAAGCCAGAGGGAGCCCCCAACTGGGCATCTCCCAGGAGGTGATTGTTGATCTCCATGGCTTTGGGTCCTCAGTAGCCAGGGAACCAATCAGGAATCCCAGCAGTTCCCCCCTCCATGGAGGTACGCATGGCAGGAGGCAGCACCCAGGGCAGGGGACCCCCCTCTCCCTCCAGCCCACAGGGCACCCACTCACCGAGAAGTCAGCATCCTCTGCTCGCAGGTGGTCCGCGATGTACTGCACCCCTTCCAGGGCCTTCAGGATGCTGGGGGACAGCAGCAGCCCCTGGTCCGAGCCCTCCTGCTCCTCCTCCCTCTTGGGGGGCACCCGGGGGGGCAACCCCCCTGGTGTCTTCCTGGCTTGTTGCCCACAGCTATAGCAGCACTGGTTGACCTGGGTGTGGGACCCCGCCTGGGATATGTGGCTGGGGTACGTCTTCTCCTCCTCTTCCTCCTCTTCCTCCTCCTCCTCCTCTTCTTCCCACTTGTCATCCACATCGGTCTCCAGCCAGCACCGGGAGGTGCTGAGCCTCGTCCCAGGGAGGTCGTACTGCCCCACGGGCCCCTCGGGGGGAGGCAGCACCGGGGGACGCTTGATGAAGAGCCAGCGAGGGATGAAGTCCAGAAAGAAGGTGCGCACCCAGCGCGGCATGGTGTGGGTGCTGGGGGAGCGGTGGTGCACGTTGAGGACGAACACGGTGATGATGATGGAGAGTGTGACGAAGATCATGGTGAAGAGGAGGTACTCTCCGATGAGGGGGATGACCAGTGAGGTGGAGGGGATGATTTCCGTGATGAGCAGCAGGAACACGGTGAGGGACAGCAGGACGGAGATGCAGAGGGTGATCTTCTCCCCGCAGTCGGAGGGCAGGTAGAAGACTAGCACGGTCAGGCAGGAGATAAGCAGGCAGGGTATGATGAGGTTGATGGTGTAGAAGAGCGGGAGGCGACGGATGACGAAGCAGAAGGTGATGTCAGGGTAGATCTCGGTGCAGCAGTCGTACTTCTTGGAGTTATAGGTGCCGATGGCATTTATGATGGCCCACTCGCCACTCTCCCAGTAATCCTTGAGGTCCACGTGATGGTCCATGTTCTCCAGATCAATCTTGGCCTTGTCATAGGTCCATGAGCCGAACTTCATCTTGCAGTTCTGCTGGTCAAAGGGGAAGAAGGTGACATCGATGCTGCACGAGCTCTTGTAGATGGCGGGTGGCACCCACTTCACCGTCCCACTGGAGAAGAGGTGGGCCTTCGTCATGTGGGTCACAGCAAACTCCCCGTCAGCACTGCAAGCATGGAGAGGTGTGAAGGTCAGAGAGGGATGAAGCATGAAGCAATTCCCCTGGGAGAAGCAGGGCCAGGACATCCCTCAGCTATCAGGGTTGGAATGACCCTTAGTTTGAGGTTCTGGCCCTATCCTGCATCCCTGCACAGTGCTGGGTTCACCTTCCTGGGCATCATCCATAGCATGGGATGGGGTAGCGGGAAGGGGGAAAGGCCGAATTGCCATACCTGCACCCCGATCAGCTGCACCACCACCAGTCTGCGCCTGCCCGGCCGCCGAGCCGCAGGTCCACCCCGCTTTGGCCCCGGAGCTTACTGGAACCAGCAGGACCACCCCCCCCAACCCCTCCTTTCCCGCAGTCCCGTCGCCCCCCAGCCGGCCGGTGCGCGGCGCCAGGACGCCGCGGGGACTGGCGCGGTGCCGCTCGGCAGCGCATCGCATCCCATCCCATCGCACCCCATCCCATCCCATCGCACATCCCGCGCAGAACGGGGCCCCCTCCCCGGGGCTCCGGTCCCGGGGGGGCACGTGTGTGATGTAAAACCTCGCCGGCCGTTGCGCACCCAACACCCCCTCCCCAGGGGCTCTTTATTCCCCCCCCCCTTTACGTCCACTTTCTACCCGCGGCCTCGCACCCAGCGGGGGCTGAGTGGGGACCCCCCCCCATCCCCTCATCTCCCCCACCCCGAGCTGCAACATCCCCCATGGCTGCGGGGTCACCGAGGCCCCGGAACCGCGGTTGGCGCCCAGCAAAGGGGCGGGGCGGGGCGGCCCTCCCCGAATCCCACCCTTGTGAGGAGCGGGGGCAGCCCCGGGGCAGCGGGACCGGAGCGCGGCGCGGCCGGGAGACGGGAGCGGGACGCGGGTGCGAGCGGGTGCGAGGTGCGGGTGAGAGCGGGTGCGGGCTCTGGAGCTGGGTACGGGCCGTGTGTGCATGGGGGTGCTGTGGAGGGGACGTGTCGGTACATGTTCCCCAGGGCCGGGTGTGGGACACGCATGGGTGTGCAGGCTCTCTCGGGACCAGGGGTGAGACACACGTGTGCGTGGGGTGCAAGCTGCCCTGGGACCGTGTATGAGATGTGTGTGCTTGGGGTGCAAGCTGCCCTGGTACCGTGTATGAGATGTGTGTGCTTGGGGTGCAAGCTGCCCTGGTACCGTGTATGAGATGTGTGTGCTTGGGGTGCAAGCTGCCCTGGTACCGTGTATGAGATGTGTGTGCTTGGGGTGCAAGCTGTCCTGGTACCTGGTGTATGAGATGTGTGTGCTTGGGGTGCAAGCTGTCCTGGTACCGTGTATGAGATGTGTGTGCTTGGGGTGCAAGCTGGCCTGGTACCGTGTATGAGATGTGTGTGCTTGGGGTGCAAGCTGTCCTGGTACCGTGTATGAGATGTGTGTGCTTGGGGTGCAAGCTGTCCTGGTACCGTGTATGAGATGTGTGTGCTTGGGGTGCAAGCTGTCCTGGTACCGTGTATGAGATGTGTGTGCTTGGGGTGCAAGCTGTCCTGGTACCGTGTATGAGATGTGTGTGCTTGGGGTGCAAGCTGCCCTGGTACCGTGTATGAAGCACGCGTGGCTTGGGTGCAAGCTGTCCTGGTACCGTGTATGAGATGTGTGTGCTTGGGGTGCAAGCTGCCCTGGTACCGTGTATGAGATGTGTGTGCTTGGGGTGCAAGCTGCCCTGGTACCGTGTATGAGATGTGTGTGCTTGGGGTGCAAGCTGTCCTGGTACCGTGTATGAGATGTGTGTGCTTGGGGTGCAGGCTGTCCTGGTACCGTGTATGAGATGTGTGTGCTTGGGGTGCAAGCTGTCCTGGTACCGTGTATGAGATGTGTGTGCGTGGGGTGCAGGCTGTCCCGGGGTCACGTGTAGGACACGCATGTGCATGGGGTGCAAGCTCACCCAGGGCTGCGGTGGGACACGCGGGTGAATGCTCTCCTGGGAGCACAGGGTCACAGGGTGTCAGCTCCCCTCAGCCTGCCCGGGGTGCAGGGTCTCTCCCTCGGGACCCCCGGCTGGGTGGGGGCTGTGGGAAGCTGGGTGCAGGCTCCCCCCTTCCCCAATCCTCACGCCCCGCTCTGCTCCCCACAGCCCCACTGCCCGCGGAAGAAGGGACGCATCCGGAGGAGGGGCCACCTTGGTTGTTGTTCGCTGCCATCCTCCCCTGCGAGCCGCCTGCCTGACCTCTGCCTTCCTCCCCTGCCCTCCTCCTCCTCCTCCCCAGCCACAGACCGGCATCCCCGGTGCTACCGCGACGCCCCGTGGGAGGCGGAGGTGAGGTGACCCCCAGTGCCCTGCCTGTCTTTTGGGGTGATGGCCCATTTCCGAAGCAGGAAGAACAAGCGGAAGGGGGGTCTCCCCTCGCCGGCGGCCTCGCAAGCAGCACATTTGGGGTTGCTCCCCCAGGAGAGCAGTCCCCAGCCATGGGCGGAAGATGCCGTCCCCAAGCAGCCAGCAGGGGGGGACCCGGAGGAGGACGTTGCTGGGTTCTGCCTTCTCCCGCGCCTCCCTAAGGGCTGGCAGCTGGGCAAGGCCCTGCGGTTCCTGTGGAGGGAGTCACGGTCGAAGGATGGGAGCAAGAAGCGAGGAGCCGAGGAGAGCCAAAGAGCACAGGCTGCCCAGAGGTGCACCAAGCTGGAGGGGAGAGCACCGGGGGTGCCGGAGGAGCTGGGGACCAGCCAGAAAGCCCCCCAGGGTGGGGAAGTTCACAGCGCGGTCCCGTTACTCGGGGATGAGCCAGTTGGTGGATGGAAAGCAAGGGATGGGGATGTGCCAAGGCAAGGTGGTAGCCGTGGGGGTGAGATGGGTCAGGCTCAGCATCTGGTCCAGGCAGGCACCAGTGGGGATGTGGAAGGAAGGACCGCTGGCTTATCCCAGAGCCTGGGCTTCAAGGTGGAGCGCAAGGATGCTGCCACCCTCCCTCAAGGTGACGGGCAGGACTTTAACCCTCTGTCAGCAGAGGGAAGTTCTGGAGATGACCGGAGGGGGAAAGTGTGGGAGAAGCTGCATCACCACGGAGAAGACATGGCGAGGTGGGAAGGGAGGTCCACGAGAGACCTGGCAGTCAGGCTGATGGAGGTGATCCTGCAGACAGAAACCAAGATGTACCCCATGGAGATGGGGAACAAGAGCAACGGGCAGGAGCAGGGAGCGGGGTGGACGAGAGCCAGTGTTGGCAGCTCTGCAGAGGTCTGTGCTTTGGTGGGCACTAAGGAGGACGCCTCCACAGCGCAGCAGCGCCCACAGGACCTTGCCGTGAACCACAGTGTCCCTGTCTCTGTCACTGGGCCCGAGGATGGAGACAACCAGCTGGAGCTGCTTGGGGACGAGCAGATCTGGGAGGACTCTGATGATGATCTCCTGGAGCAGGGAGGTCCACCAGCATTTCCCAGTCCTTCAGTGCAGATCCGCTGTCTCGTGCTGGTCGGGGCCAAGAGCGAAGAGCAGTGGAGAGAGGAATTCGCAGGCGTGTGGTCGCAGCACGAGATGGACTGTGGGCTGGTGTCTGGGGAGCAGGAGGTGAGCGGGGGACCGGCGCCCTTCCAAAAGCAGCCCCGACTGCCTGCAGACGAGGAGGAGGCGGTGGCGAGCATCCTGCAGAAGCTGCTGGCTGAGGGCGTGGTGGTGGAAGGCAGCTCTGCCTTCAACAGCCCTTTAAAGCTCACCCGAAAAGACAACGGGAGGATGCGGCTGACGCTGAGCTGCAAAGCTGTCAACAAGGCCACCCCCGAAGTGGTGGCTCCGGTATCCCAGGACACGACCAAGCTCGTTTCAACCCTCAGCCCCAAGAGCAGGTATTTCTCAGTGGTGGATCTGTCGAACGCTTCCTTCGCCATCCCCTTATCCGAAGGTTCCGGAGCCAGGTTCGCCTTCACCTTCAGGGGCCAGCAGTACCTCTTCACCCGGCTGCCCCCGGGCTTCCACAACACCACCGCCATCCTGAACCAGCGGGTGACCCAGATGCTGTCCCAGCTTGGCCAAGGAGATCAACCTTGGGTTATTTCCCACATCGATGACATCCTCATTGCTGGGAGAAGTTACGAGGAAACCAGAGACCGAACGAGGACTGTGCTGGAGCTGATCCGAAAAACCGGCTTTAAAGCCAAGTTTGAGAAGGCGCAGCTCGTCCAGCGCAAGGTGCTCTACTGTGGGATGACCATCGGGGACAAGGGCCGAGAGATCCCTGCCAGCAAGCGGGAGGGCATCATCAAAACGCCCTGCCCGCAGGATGCTGACAAACTCCGCTCGCTCCTTGGGCAGTTTGGCTTCTTGCGGGATCACATCCCTGACTTCTGGGAGATGGCCTTGCCGCTCGACCGCCTCACCAAGAAGCAGCTCAAGTGGGAATGGGGGCCGGAGCAGGAGGAGGCTCTGAACCGCCTGAAAAGTGCTGTCCAGGCTGCGCCCCCCCTGCGATTCCCTGATAAGTCCCAGCCCTTCCTTATCAGGTTAACAACTGGCAAGGAGGCCATAGGAGCCACACTGCTGCAGGAGGATGAATGCCGCCAGCTGGTCCCAGTGGGACACAGCTCCCGCATCCTGAAGGACCATGAGGTCTCCTGCCTGCCGCAGGAAAAGGGGTGCCTGGCAGCGGTCTGGGCCGTGCAGGCCTTCGAGACCCTCACGGGGCCGGCCCCCATCCTTATCCAGATGCCCCATTCCCCATGGAAGTATCTGCTACGGGGAGAAGTGCTGCGGTCCCGTGGAACAAACCCACACCTGGCGCAGTGGACTCTGCTGCTGGTGAACAACGGAGCAATGGCAAAGGACCACCCCACTGACGTCCTGGTCCCCATCGCTCCCTCCCTTCCGGAGCTGGCCTCCGACATCCCCAAGGCCAACGTGTGGTTCACAGCCAGCAAGAGGAATTGCTCCATCGGCTTTGCTGCAGTCAACCTAGAAGAGCGGTGGCTGCTCGGGGTGAGCAAGGGTGGCTCGGTGCCAGGTGCAGAGCTGGTGGCTCTCAAGCAGCTCCTGCAGCATCACCAGCACTCCTCACCCCTCTATGTGTACATGAGCTGCTGGTCCTTGGTGGACAGGCTGGGAAACCGGAGGGGTGAGCAGCAGTGGGGAATGTCCGGCAAGGGTTTGTGGGCAAGCATCCTACGGTGGGTCCACAGCAACCCAGGGATGCTGCACGTCAATTGTGTGGGAGACGACTGGGACGAGGAGCCAGAGGAGAAGGAGTGGAACCTGAAAGCGGCCAAGAGGGCTTGGGCGATGTCTGGCAGGGCTGGGGGCTCCTGGCAGGGCTGGGAGCCTTCAAAGCATGAGAAGCAAGAAATAATCGCACAGTGTCACAGCTGCCGGCACGATGGGGTGGGGGAGACGCTGGCACGAGTGCGGCAGGTTGCATCCTGGGAAGAGGACCACAAGCAGGTATCCCGTTGGGTGCAGAACTGCCTGCAGTGTGCGCATGGAGCAGGCAGGGTGCTGGCCCAGCGGACAGAAGGGCCCTGGTCGCAGCTCCTGCTGGGCTGCATCAGTGGCCTTACCAAGACCGAGGGCGGGCACTGCTTCCTCTTGGTGGTGGAGGATGAGTTCTCGGGGTGGGTGGAAGCCTTCCCGATGCAGGAGAGGACAGTGGAGGAGGCCGCCGAGGTGCTCCTCAGGGAGGTGTTTGCCCGGTACGGGACCCCTCTTGTCATCCGTCTGCCGCATGCGCCGCGCTTCCTCTGGGATGCCGTGGTGGCGGCATCGCCACTGAATCTCCCGTGGGACATGCAGCAGGTCAGCCGGAAGGGACCGGCCATGGCAGCCCTGCAGCGGCTGGCCTGGGGGGCCGGCAAGGGGTGGGTGAAGATGCTCCCCCTCATCCTGGCGGGGTTCAGATCCATCTGGGCGCAGGAAGCGGTGCTAAGCCCGTACCAAATCGGTTTCCCGTTGGAGGTGCGGAGGGAACGCGAGGGGAAAGCCAACCCCCAGGGCAATGACTGCCTGGCTCAGCCAGCTGCAGGAGGATGGGGCCCACTACAAGCACCAGACCAAAACCGTGCTGCTGAGGAGCTGCCCAGGGGGAGATGATCCATTGCCATAGCCCCCATCTCCTCCATGAGATCGCTGTGTGTGGTGTGGCGTGGCGTGAGAAAAGGGGTGCAGTGGGCTTGCTGGGGGGGTTCTAGGCAGGGCTGCAGGGCTTTTAGGCAGGACTTGGGGAGCTGCTAGGCAGGACTAAGCAATGCAATCTTCTTGCTGCAGTGTGCAAGCACAGGGAGGGAAGACTTGCTGGGTGCACTGGTTTTGACAGAGCCGGAGTTGGTTTCCTTGCCAGGGTCCAGCACGATGCTGGGCTCTCTGGCTGGGATGGTGCTGCAGGGCTTGTGGGGAGCTGGGACAGCTTTTGCTGGGCACTGTGGAAGATGGCGAGCAATGGCCTTGGCATCCTTTGCTTTTGTTTCTGTATTTTCTTTCCACCTTTTTCCGCTTATTCATTTATTAATGAGGGAAAGGGAGAGAAGGGAAGGGGAGGGGAGGGGAAGGAAGGTTAGAGAGGGAAGGGAAGGGATAGGGCAAGCTACAGGGAAGGGAAAGGAAGTGCACTAGGGATGTGCCATCACTCACTTGTTGTAGAGCACGATGTCAGGGATCCAAATCATCTCAGAGGGCACCCGGATGGAGGTGACGTTGTCAAATTCAGCCGGGTCCCAGCGCAGTTTGTAGTCACTCCACTCCTGCAGGGAAACACGGAGGGGAGGGTGTCAGGAGGCCCTGGGTCTGGTGGGACCAAGTGGCCCCAGATTCTGTGCCCCCCTTGCCCCAGAGAGGGAACAGGCTCCTACCTGCTTCAGCCAGACATTTGTGGTCATCATTTGGTTCTTCTCATCCTGTGGTGGGAAAGAGGGATGAGAGAGACAGGCAGAGACAGCCCAAGGGTTTGTCCTATCAGTGCTTGAGCCCCCAGATTAGAGCTTCACTTTGTGCCCTCTGCCTCTGGGGTTCAGCTCCTGGGAGCAGCCGGTACCAGCACAAACCCAAGGAGATGCCGTGCTTCCCCGGGATATCTGCTCACTAGATGGCAGCAAGAAATTGCGGTTTGCAGCGTACAGCGCTGGGCTGCTCTGATGGGGGAACGAATGTGCATGAGGAGGTGGATAGGTAGGTTTATATGTAGATAGGTGGATAGGTTGATGGGTGACTAGATGGGCAGGTAGATAAGTGGATGGGTGCATAGCTGAGTGTGCATCAGACGAATGAGTGAGGGATGGATGGATGGATGGATGGATGGATGGATGGATGGATGGAAGGATGGATGGAAGGATGGATGGATGGATGGATGGATGGATGGATGGATGGAAGGATGGATGGAAGGATGGATGGATGGAAGGATGGATGGAAGGATGGATGGATGGAAGGATGGATGGATGGATGGATGGATGGATGGATGGATGGAAGGATGGATGGATGGATGGATGGATGGATGGATGGATGGATGGATGGATGGATGGATGGATGGATGGGAGGATGGATGGATGGATGGATGGATGGATGGATGGATGGATGGATGGGTGGACAGACAAGGCCAGAGGTGCCCCACAGCAGGTAGATGGTGGACAAGGACGTGGCAGGGATGGAGACCTGCAGTTTTCCTTGGTGGCCTCCTGCCGGCAGGGAAGGGGTTTGGGATGGAGGGTGGGAAGTCAGACACCCCACGGGACTGGGATCCTGCCACTGGGCTACGCACCACGTCGATGAGCTGCGCAATGGAGAGCCCGAACTTGACAATGACCACATCAGAGGTGTTGGGCACCGGCCGCGACCAGCGGTTGTAGCCAGTGAAGAGGTGCTTGAAGAGACGCTCCTCAGCGTGGCTGCGGGGCTGCTCCTGGAGGCAGGCAGCTGTGGGGAGACGGGATGGAGATGGAGGAGACCTCACTGAGCCCCCCTTCCACACCCCTGCACCCCACTGACATGGGGTGCTCACTCTGCACAAGTCCCCTCTCTGCTGCAGCATCAGGGATGCTAAAGCTCAGCCTGGGATGGGGAGAGGGGGATTAGCCCCCTCGAAGCTGCCCTGTGCTCCTGCTGGAGAATGGTAGAAGATCAGCCTTGCCATGCTGCACAAGGGATCCCACTGGAGTGGCTGAGATCCCAGTCCCCTCCAGCTGCTCCTACTGGTGCTAAATGGTTTGGCTTTGCAGGGTGGAGGCTGAGCGAGCCCTTGGGACCGCTGCAGGCTGTGCAGAGCCCATCGCTCAGGCTGGGCTGGGAAGGAGCCCAACGCTCGGTGCTTAGGAATCATTGGCGTTGGTGTTCGGTGCTGTCAGCTCGCGCTGCATCACTCGGCTGTCCTTGCTCGCTGCAGAGCCCCATAAATTTCCACCAGCAAGTCGAGGGAGGGAGGGGTAAAGGGAGGGAAGGCTCTGTACAGCCGAGTGCAACCAAAGAGACCTTGTATGGGTGGCTTTGCCCTGAAGAAGGATGGGTTATGGCCCCATAGAATTCCTGTGCCCCATGCAAGTGGTTCCCACTGGGCACACAAGCCCAGCAAGGACCCTGGTTGTACTCTATCCAGGAACGGAGGGTCTTAGAGGTGTTGGGGAAGACTGTTCCCAAGTGAAGGGACAAGCAAGATGCCCACCTTATGGAAGGTCTTGCATTAATGGCAGGAGGAAGCAAAATCCATCTTTCTTTCCATCCTGCCCACATTTGTAGCTTGCACAGGATGGATCTGGGGTCCCAGAGCAGACCACCCCCGCCCAAGTGTCTGGTGGTGTCAAGCTGCTTTGCAAAGACACAATCCCTGCCCTAGACAGTGGTACAGGACACCACACCAGTGTGGATACTGGGGATGATAAGACTGCATGGGATAAACTGGGACAGAACTGGTTTTCTATCCGCATGCACTACAGCCCACTCCCTCTCCCCAGATTTATCCCCTACAGCCCCCATAGGTGACACCCATAGGAAGTCAAGGATTAAGGAAGGGAATTCAGGTGCCCAGATCAGCCCTTACCTGCCTGGAAGGTGAGGAAGCACCACGCAATGAGGGGGGTGATGCGATGGGGCAGTCTCCCCATGCTCCCTCTGGCGGTGTCCCCTATGGGCCCAGCAAAGCCCCCAGGAGGGACCGGGTGAATCAAAGAGCTGAGATGCTGGTGGGCGAGGAGGCTCAGCAGGGAAAACCACCACAGGGGACCTGTGACAGGGTGCTCTGTGTGTTCCCACCATCAGCAAGTGCTGGAGGAGCCATGGACAGGGCTGGATGCGCAGCTCGGGATGCTCTGCAGTCACCTGCCCCTCGTTTCATTCCTGGAAGGACAGCAGAGAGCAGCACCGTCACCGCGATGCAGATATGGGAGGTGACAGTCCTGTGGTCACCTCCAAGCCATTGCCAGCTGCTGGCAGGGCTTGGAGCCGATCCAAGCTGTGACCATGGCAGAGCCAAGGGAAAGTGTCCCCAGAGCATCTGCTCCCCACTTTATGACGGCTCCTCATGCAGGCAGGGCATACAGCCGGGCATCTGGACCCCATGAGTTAAAGCAATGGGGAGCCTAAGTGTGCCCCCAAATGGTTTAATAGCAAGGATGGAGCCCAGGGCTTTGGCTTTCACTGAGGTGACCAGAAAACACTGGTTTCAACCATCCTTCTGCCCTATCTGTCTCATGTCCTGGGAGCACGGGAGGGGGAAGCTGCTCCAAGAGGCTGTGCTGCCCCACATGGGCTCCTGGGGCTGGTTTCTCCCCTCTGAGAAAGGGGATCATTCTCTCATCATCGATCCATCCAACAACCATCCATCCATGCATCTGTTCATCCATTCAGCTGTGCATGCATTCATCCATTCCTGCATCCATCCATCCACCCACCGACCCACCCATGCATTCATCTACCTAAATGTCCATCCATACACCCACCCACCCATCCATCCAACAACCATCCATCTATTCATCCATCCATCCATCCATCCATATCCATATCCACCCATTCACCCATGGATGTGCTTGGTTCCCCTCCCCAGCACAGCAAATCTCTCAAGGGGAGGAATCACTTGCTCTGCAGTGGCCATGAAATCTGCTCCATCTTACAGGGTGACTCCCCCAGGAGCAGCCTCCCCTCTCCAGGAGGCAACTGCTTCCATCCCTGAAGAGGAGGAGTTTCCCAGCCCAGCACTGGTGTTGCTGGACAAGAAGCTCATTTGGCTTAAATTCCCCCTCTGGCCTGGTAAAACCATGAAGCCCTCCTGAATTTATCATCATCCTCTGCGCAGTTATCGACTGATTAATGCAAGGATGGTGGAGGGGCTGGGAAATGAGAGGATAAACACCAGCCACAGCGCTGAACTGGAGGGAAAATTATGGATGTCCTCTTCTGGATAAGACACTGTACTGGAGAGTACAGAGGGTGCTGGAGGAGCTTTTTCTACTCTAGGCTTGGTTATAGGGTCACACAAGTGGGGATTTCATGGGCTCCCCAAAGCTCTGGTAGATACTGGAGAGGGAAAGAAAGTGCCTTGGGTGATACAAAGCTGCGCCTGAAACCTCTTGAATGTGGCAAATGGGGTTGTGGGGGATATGAGGGAAGAGGATCCCATGCAGGCTGTGCACCCGTGGGTCACAGTGGGGATGGGGATGGATAGGATGCCAAAGGCTGGACCAGGGGATGATGGTGACCATGCGGAGCTCTGGGCATCCCAAAACGCAGCCAGGAGGCAGAGAGAATAAATAACTTGTTTACTGGATTTTAAATACGGACAGCGGGGGATTTGGGGTTTTTAGATGGGAACTTCACGCAAAGCTGGGAAACTTGCCCAGCTGCTGCCTCCCCATCGCTCCCTGACTGTCCTCAGCACTTTGCAAACAGCTTTAATCAGGGATATTCACAGGAAGAAACCAGCTTCTCTCCTTCCCACCCAGCCTGGACCCAGTGAACCCCCTTACCTGCTGCAGGGAGGGCAAGGAGGGGTCCCCCATTCCCGCTGCTGTGCTGGAGTTGGGATGCTGTGCCGTGGAGCGCTCCGGTGAGGACTGGGCTCCAGCGAAGGATGTCTCAGCTCTTACTCGAAGCAGTGGCAGTGACGACAGGGGCTGGGGGAGGAGGGAGAGCCATGCCCAGGCAGGGAAGGAGGGGAAGCCTGGGGGACCAGGGGGAGGAAGGCTGATGGGGCAGCAGCGTTGGCAAAGCTTCCCCGGGTTGGAAAAAGCTGGATTTGCGGGGTTTTCTCAGCCTTTTCCAAGGCAGCGCTTGGCCAGGGGGAAAGAGCTTTGTGTGTGAGGATGGGGAGGGAGAGAGAAGAACAGAAGTGCTGTGGAGCAGCGGAGCTGGAGCGCAGGATGGGGCTTTGTAGGGCACATTGCAAGGGTACTGCATGAAGCATCACGCAGGGCGTCGCATGGGGTATTGCAGGGAGCCTCACTGCCTGAATGAGGCATCGTAAGGGGCATCGCAGGGACATTGCAAAGGGCCGGGCTCTTGTATGGCTGGGGGCAGGGGGAGAAGGGGCTGCTCCCCAGTCCCAACCAGACCAAGGTTTCCCCTCTTATTCCACAGCCCTGAGATGGGAGTTTGGTGCCAGCCAAACCTGCCCGCAGTCAGGACAGCTGCAGGCAGCGGCAATATCCCCTGCTCTGGTGAAAACGGGGGGCAAGGACTTGAGGCTGGGGTGCCCCCATGCAGTTCCTGTCTCAGCCTATGCTTGACCCCACATAACACTGCCAATAAAACAGTTGCAAAACTGGGGTAGCAAAGGCAGGACAATATCCAGGATCCGGGAATGGGGCAGGGATAGGGGCAGGGGTACTTTGGGCAGAGGAGCCGGCTCTCCCACTGCAAGAGGATGGGAAACCCAGAGCTCTCCACTGCTTCCTGACCCAGCCTTCTCCCCAGACCAGCCTCTCCTTCCTTCCTGCAAGGAAATTTAATGCGCAACCTTCCTGCAAATGAAGCCCAGGAATGTAATTTCCAGCCCTGGGGGACCTGACAACAATTCCCTTCCTTTCCCCTGGGAGATAAACGAAGAGACAGACGTGGGCATGGAGGGCACCTCAATCTGCTGTTCCCCTGCTCTGCTGTAGGATCCCCGTCCACAAGGCTGTCCTCACCATCCTTAGGATGCTGGATACCATAGATCCACGGGGAAGGGTACCACGGAGCAGGTACCCTGCCATCCCACCACCCCAGCAGCAGCCAGTGCCAAAGCCAGGTGGATTTCGGGTTGTCCCCACTCCAGATCCATGGCTGCAAACTGTGATGTGAAGCCTTGCCCTGTGCTGTGGTGTAGAGCCCTGAGCCCAGGCCCAAGGCTGAGTATGGGGCTGGAGGGAGGGTGTTCAGTGTTGGATGGAGCCCCAAAGCTGGGGTGATGGGGAATGGGGGAAGATGGAGAGATGGATGGTGGAGGGATGGGGAGCAGCTGGGAATTGCAAGGACCAACCCAGTAGATCGATTCAGGCCCACCAAAGGAAGGGAATTAGGGAGAAGGATGAGTTGGGTACTACTGTAGTAAATTAATCAGGAAAAAAGGACAATCTACATTGATTTTCCTGTGGAGGAAGAAACCAGAGCTGACTGTTGGGATGGTGGGATGAAGGCTGCGGGGTGGGAAGCATCGCGGATGCTGCGGGACCCATCTCCTTCACTGGGCTCCTGACTGGGACTGTTTTGGAGGCGGAGGAGCAGTTAACACCACAGACAACCTCACCCATCCTCCTTTTCCCTCGGACAGCAGAGGACGGAGAGAAAACAGACACGGAGATCACGCTGACGCCTGGCAGAGCGCAATGCATCTTTATTTCGCTGCCTGCAGCTCCTGCAGAAGTGCCGCTACCCGGGGGGGGGGATCTGCTTCTTGCCCATCCTTAGGGTGCACCATGGGGACAGTGGGGGACCCTTAGCCCAACGTGCCAGGGTGGCCCTGGCCATTCCTGCTGGAGGAACCTCTGTGCTTACAAACACAGGGTTTGGAGAAAGGATTTTCCGCCTCCGGCTGCTTTCCCGCTGCCCAAACCTCTGTGGGTTGGGAGCACTCGAGTTGCCAGCTTTGATTTATTGCCTGGCGCTTCATCTCCAGCCACTCTCACACCCTGTCTGCAGCTCCACCGTTACCACCCCAGGGGCAAAAAAGGCTTCTTCCAAGCCTGGACAAGATGCTCCCAAGGGGGAAGGATTAACCAGGGTTCTGCCCACACCAGTGATGCTGCTGGACCATCGGTGAGATGCCACCAAGCCCCCCAGAGAGCTGTAAGACCCTCTGGGGAGCCCCAGGAGGTCCAGGCAAGGATCCGGGTGCGATGGTGTAGCTGTTGGTAAGTGTGGCTGCCTGGCTGTGACAAAAGGGAGCCTGTGTGGGTAAAGCTCTTCCAGGAAGGGACACAGGGGTCCAGAGGTTTGCTGGGGATGGGAAGGAGCTGCCACAGAAGGGATTTCCCCAGCCACATACGCTGTGGCACCAGGCTCTGCTATGTGATGACAGAGCTGCTGCAGGGTAAGTGTATCCAACATGGTGGGTGCACCACAGTCCTGCATCCAGCTCTTGGGACCAAACATAAGAAGGACGTGGAGCTCTTGGAGTGAGTCCAGAGGAGTACAACAAAGATTCTCTGAGGGCTGGAGCACATCTGCTATGGAGACAGGCTGAGAGAGCTGGGCTTGTTCAGCCTGGAGAAGAGAAGGCTCCAGGGAGACCTTAGAGCAGCTTCCAGTGCCTAAAGGGGCCAACAAGAAATCTGGAGAGGGGCTTTGGACAAGGGCCTGTAGGGACAGGACAAGGGGGAATGGATTTAACCTGACAGAGGGGAGACTGAGATGGGATCTTACGCAGAAGTTCTTCCCTGTGAGGGTGGTGAGGCCCTGGCACAGGGTGCCCAGAGAAGCTGTGGCTGCCCCATCCCTGGCAGTGTTCAAGGCCAGGCTGGACGGGGCTTGGAGCAACCCGGTCTAGTGCGACTGGATGAGCTTTGAAGTCCCTTCCAACCCAAACCATTGGTTCCATGGTTCTATGAACACCTGGGGCTTGGGTTACAGGCATCATCATGCATGCAGTGGCATTTTATGTGCGATACATCCCTCAGTGCGCAGCAGCCTCCCATCCCATCCCATCCCATCCCATCGCATCCCATCCCATCCCATCCCATCCCATCCCATCCCATCCCAGCACTGCTGGCTCCAGCCCCCAGACCACTCTGCAAACATTCTGGGCAGCGTCTCAGCCACTGGTGCTGCGGAGAGGAGCCAGGACCCCCCAGAAGCCATGGAGATGAGCCGGGTCGGGGTCCTACCAGCAAGCAAGGCCATAAGCAGGGTGATGGCGGAGCCCATCCCCGCTGCCCTAGGGCTCAATGGCGATGGCAGCCGAGCTCTGCAGGCGCTGGCTGAGCTCAGCATCAAGGCGCTGTGAGGCAGCATCGAGGGTCTGGGCCAGGCGCCCTGTGAGGCGCAGCATGTGTGCCACCACATGGACACCCTTCCGCAGCCTGGGGGGAGAAGAGTGCGCTCAGTGTCCGTCCCCCCCTGTCCAAGGGATGCTGCAGCACTGGGGGTCCTGGAGGGGGTCCCCAGCTTGGGAAAGATTTCCCAACTCCTCCATCTTGGTCAATGCATTTCTCCACCATCACATTGTGGCTCAGCTGCACTGGGTCACTCATTTACGGGTGACAACCTCCCCTCTCCTGACATCCCACCCCTCACCCTGCCCATGGAAGACCCCTTGCCAGCCACACTGTAATGGGCTTAGGGCAGAGACACTCACATGGGTGTTAACAGCAGTGGTCTGCCAAGCATCCAAACCCCACATATAACATAAAAGCCACCATGAAGTTTATGGGACCCAAGGGGACACCTGCACTCCCCCATGTGCCTGCAGCCTGGGGCTGGCTCCCACCCATGGAGCTTGGGGCACCAGCTCCATGGAGCATCCCCATCCCCTTCCCATGGCACTTACTTCTCCTTCTTCTCAGCTGTCCGTGGGTGATCAGCCTCTGCCACGTGAGCCTCCAGCTCCCTGCGGACATTATCCAGGCTCTCCCGAAATTCCAGGTTGGCCTCATGGATGGCGGGCAGCGCCTCGGTGATGATGTCCTGGTAACGGGTCTGGTTCTCCTCCAGCATGGCCGCCATCTCCACGTCCTTCAGGCTGGCCTTGGTGTCCTGCAAGAGGCTCTTGAGGTGATCCAGCTCATTGCGAGAGGCGAAGGCTGTGGGCCCGTGGGGGCTGCAGGGGTTGGGGGTGTGGAAGGTGATGCCACAGCGCTGGGGGTCCTGGAGGGGGTCCCCATCCTGGGAGGTGTGGTACCCCAACTCCTCCAGCCCAACACTGGGGGTCACATCCTCTTCTGGTCCTCGCTGTGTGGTGGCAGGGACGAGGGTGCAGAGCCCCACCAGTAGGCACCAGCCAGGGCCCCCCGAGACCATGGTGTCCTGCAGGAGCAAAGAGAAAGAGGGGGATCAAGGCTACACCTGGGACACCCTTTGAGGCCCTTTTGGGCCCTTCCAGGGACCCCCCCATTTGCACCAGCAAACCCCCCAAGTACCCTTTATTTTTCCATGCATGTGCATCTCTGGTTTCCAGGAGCTGGGATTTGGGGGTGTTGTATCCCACTCTCCCCACACCATAGAAGAACCCCCCCGGGGATGGGGAAAGGTAGGAACGACACAGAGCCTTCCTGCATCCCTGCAGCACAGCACATGGATCATAATGATGGGGAAACTGAGGCACAGAGGAGTTAAGATGAGGGCTGGAAGGGTTGGGGGGAGGCTGATCCTGCTCGTCCCCCCCCCCTAAAACCCCCCTCTGGAGCCATGGAAAAGCAGGAGGCTGCGGTGGGGGGGGCACAGACAATGCTGCTCTTTCAAACCCATCTTGGCGCCGGGGCCAAGGGAGCGGGTGCCAGAGGCTGCAGGCGCGACGGGAGTGGAAGGGGGGGACCCACCAGCACCCTTCACCCTCCCAGCCAGTCCTGAGCCCCTCTGCAGAGGGAAGGGGGCTCCCAGGGGCATCCCCAGCTCCCTGCCAGCATCCTGGGGTTCAATGAGCTCCTCAGGTCTCAGACCAGCACTTGGCAGGGGTGGGCTGGTTTCGATTTGGAGTGAAAGACCCCCCCAAAAAAGAGGGGAGCCCTCCGGCATGGACCACAGCAGCACGGCGGCCCAGCCCTGCCACGAGTTGGCCGGGTCTCAGGCGTCGCCGTGCTGGCATTGCGTTGGCACGAAGGCTGAGGTTGTTCCTCCCGGCGCTTCCCACCGGAATAGCGACAGACCAGCAACATTCTTCCTTTACCCCCTCGTTTCCCACCCTCCCAAACACGCTCCCACCTTTATGCCAGGGAGAAGCCGGAGCTGGGGGGCTGCGGAGCTGCTGCCGGCCCCGGAGGGTTGCGCCGGAGGTGCCCCCGCCGTGATGGGAGGAGGAAAACCCTTCGCCTGCCGCAGCTCTGAGCCATGCCAGAAACCAGGGAACGGGGCTTCATTCCCCCCCCCCCTCCAACCCGGCGGTGGACCACATTACGAGGATGCTGGGGGGTCCCCTTGGGGGTCCCGGGGACAGCGGGAGATGGGGAATGAGGGCTGGGGGACACCGAACCCCAGCAGCGGGATGCTGGTGATAAACGCATGGCTTGTCTGGGCTTGACCCCCCTAAAACACCCCTTCCCACTCCTCAATGGTAACCCCAGCTCTGCTGCGCTCGCAGGGGTGCGGTTCTTGCCCCAACTCCCTCCGAGCCAGCATCCCACCGCATGCCTTGCAGTGGGGAGGCTGAGGCAGGGGCTGGGATTGCCTCTTCCCCCCCCCCGGCCCCGCTCACCAGCGCTCCTCGACGCGGCCGTCCCGCCACGGCACCGCCAACACCGCCCCGAGACGGGGCCGGGCCATGCACACGCACACGCGTGGCCACGGCGTGTCTGTCACTGAGCACACCAGGGCTGGCTCGGGGTGCATGGGGGGGGGGGGGTGCATGTTCCCCCTTGGGCTGCTTTTACGGGGGTCCAGGGATGGTAGTCATGTGTGTGCACGTATGTGCTTGGCACGCAGGGATGTGCTGAGCGTGCACATTCGTGCTGGGTGCCCACGCAGCTGCCTGGTGGTGCACACGCATGCTTAGCAGTGCATGCATGAGCTATGTGTGCACGCACATGCCTGGCAGTGCTCACACAGCCTCAGTGTGCACGCATGCACTCGGAGACACACGCACATGCTTAATGGTGCACACGCACCGGTGGTGCTCAGCACGCACATGTGTGTTTCACATAGGCACACGTGTGTGCATGCATGGGCAAGGGTGTGTATGCATGTCTGCATACAAGACTGCATGTGTGTGTTTATGTGCATGCATTTTTTGCGTGTGCATGTGTACATACATGTGTGCGTGCATGTAGGTGTGCACACATCCATGTGTGCACATATGTGTTCCTGCATGTATTCAGGCATGTGTGCGCGCATATGCCAGGTTGGCATACCAGGTTGGACAGGTCAAGACCAGGTTGGACGAGGCCTTGGGTGACATGGTTTAGTGTGAGGTGTCCCTGCCCATGGCAGGGGGGTTGGAACTTGATGATCTTAAGGTCCTTTCCAACCCTAACTATTCTATGGTTCTGTGCCTGTGTGCACCCCCGCCCCTTCCCACTTTCAGCCCCATTTGGCTGCTCGGGATCTGGGTGCAGGCAGGTTGGGTCAGCGGGTGCTGCTGTACCCTGGGGTGCTGCGGGAGCTGAGGGGGACCCCTGGACCCCGTTAAGAGATTATAGGCAAAACCCGCCTGAGCAGCGACAGGGAGCGGGCGCAGAGGGGGCACCCATGGCAGCAACGGGGTTGCCACCGCCAGGTCGGGGGTCCCACAGCCCCACAGGACCGGGAGGGTGCCAGTGGGACGAGAGGGACACCCCCCCCCCGTCCAGGAGTGTCCTGCGACTGCTCCCGTGCTAAAGGGAGGGTGCCTACAGTAGCGGCGGCGCTAGGACCCAGCGCGGCTCCGGAGCAGGGGGCGGGGCGAGGCCTCGGGGGCGGGACCTGCAGAGAGGCCTCCGCGGTGGAGGCAGTGGCGTGTCCGTGGGTTCGAGTCCGGGTGCCGGCAGGAGGGAGAAGGCCATGGCGCGGCGGGCCGTGCTGTTCGACCTTGGCGGCGTGCTCTTCGGGCCCGGCCTGCAGCACTTCCTGGGCTCCTGCGAGCAGGACTGCGCCCTGCCCAGGTACACCCTTACCCGGCCTGACCCGGCCCGCTGTCACTCGCCCGCCCGCGCTGCTGTGGGTCACCGGTCGTCCGGAGACACGTAGAGACGAGACAATACTGTGTGTGCGGCCGCCGCCCGCGCGGGGTCTGCACGACTGGCGCCCCCATAGCAATAGGACTGGGCTGGGTGTGGGGTGCAGGCTAGGGGGACCCATGTCCTCGATGTCAGATGCATGTTGGGGACCCTGTGTATACATGGGGTGCAGGATGAGGACCTCCTTTCTGGATCTGGGGTGAGGTCCTGTCCCTTATGTGGGGCACAGGTCAGCAGTTAAAACTAACTCCCAAAGAGGTGGAATCACCATAGGGGATGCTGGCAGAAAGATAAGAAGATCAGCTAGTAATTAATTAAGCAGGATAACTAATTAACCCCATCCCTGCCTTGGTGCTGAGACCTGACACAACTCAGTGCACAAGCTGGAGCAGACAAACCCCAGTCCGCCTCTCGAGTGCTAGTGAACCCTTTGCTCCCATTAATATGGGCTGTTTGGGAGCTGGTAATCCCAAAAGCTCCCAGTCAGTAGCTGAACAGGTTCTGTTGCGTGCCCCAACTCGGCAGGGTTTCCTGGCAGCACGTGGGTGTTCAGACAGAAAAATACAGTATTAAGTAACTAAACGCTGGAGCTGATGGAGCAATAAATTCCCGGGTTATCGGCCATCAAACATCTTTTTGCTTCGCTTTATAGAAAGAAATGAGAAAGTGGCAGCAATGCAGCTGGAACAGGGTAAAGCTGCTTTGCTTTTAACCGAGCCGCGTTGTTATCGACTCAGGGAGCTTTGTCCTAAAGGCAGTCGCTGTAATCGTGTTTTATTGCTGCCTGAGAAGGCCTTTTGTCATCTGGTGATAGGGGCAGATTGTTTTCCTTGAGTTACGGCTTACAAAATACCTTGCTCTTTGCATTATTTGCTATGTTTTGTCCCTGGCGAAGCTCCCTGCTCGTCTATCTGCAGGGCCAAGTAATTGAGCTGCCAGCAGAAATAAATGGGCAGCGATCTCCCAGTCCTGTAATGAAGTGATGCTCTGGTCCTGGGGGATGATGGAGGATGGAGCTCTGTATCCCCGGCACAGAGCATCCCCCGCCCCATGGCGCACCACAGCATCCCCGCAGCATTGGGGTTGCTCCCACTGGTTTCTTCTCCTTTGCCTGGCAGGAATTTCTTGCGGAAGGTCATGTTTGCTGGTGGCTCCGACAGTCCTTATGCCAAAATGATGAGGGGACAGATCACCCTATCCCAGGTGAGCCCTCGGGTACCAGCTGTGCAGTGGCACCGATGGGGAAGGAGCCGAGGGGTGGGCTGTGCTTTATACATTGGGATCAGTTGAATGACACTGTGTTTTTTCCAGCTCTTTTCCGAGATGGAAGAGGGCTGCAGGCAGCACGCCACCACCTCAGGCATCGCCTTGCCAGATACCTTCTCTGTTGCCCGAGCCTTCGAGGAGATGGCAGCCAAGGGGACGGTCAATGCCCCCCTCCTGCAGGCAGCGAGGGTGCTGCGGAGGAATGGTGGGTGCTGGGGGGCTTTTGGGCTGGATTAAGGCTCCTGCTTCCCTCCCAAGCAACTGCCATGGGAGGCCCTGGTTGGTTCCATCACAGGGTCCTGGTTGGTACCACCTGCTTGGTCCTTAATCATCATCGCCACACTCTCCTGATGTCGCCTTTCAGCATCCTTTAATTACATACTAGGAGCCATGCTACTAAATCCATCAGACATGTTAGCACCCAGGCAGCAATTAGCTGGGTGCTATAGCCCTTTCTCATGCACTGAGTCCATCAGGGAATCATAGAATCACAGGATGGTTTGGGTTGGAAAGGACCTTAAAGCTCATCCAGTTCCAACCCCCTGCCATAGACAGGGACACCTTCCACTAGACCAGGTTGCTCCAAGCCCCATCCAACCTGGCCTTGAACACTGCCAGGGATGGGGCAGCCACAGCTTCTCTGGGCAACCTGTGCCAGGGCCTCACCACCCTCACATCAGCTCTGTCCTCAGCATCTCAGTGTGCCCAAGCTCCAGCTCACGTCCCGCTTGCACTGGGAGGGTTGAGCTTTGCTTCCCTGGAAGTACAAATTGGACATAAGCTCGTGCCGAGCATCCTTCGATCTGTTGCTGGTGTGTTCTGAGCTGGCCAGAGCCTTGCAGACTGGACATCTGGGATGAGGAGGTGGCTGGAGAGGAGAGGTGAAATCAAACACTGTCTGGAGAGCCAGGGTGGGAAAACCAGCATTCCCCTCTGTGCACCTCCCTAGGGTTTAAGACCTGTGTCCTCACCAACAACTGGGTGGACGACAGCGCAGGGCGGCTCTTCACGGCCAGGCTGATGAACCTGCTGCACCGTCACTTTGACCTGGTGATCGAGTCCTGCCGGCTCGGGATGCAGAAGCCAGATCCCCAGATCTACACGTACGCCCTGGATGTGCTGCAGGCGAAGCCACAGGAGGTATGACCACCTCAAGAACAGGTCACAGAGGGTCCCTCCATGCACCCCAAGTCCTTGGCCAAGCCCTTCTGCAGGGTGCTGATCCCTGCTCTTGGTGCTTTATCTCCAGGTCATCCTTCTGGATGACATCGGGGAGAACCTGAAGCCGGCCCAGGAGATGGGCATGGCCACTGTCCTCGTCAGGGACACTGAGACCGTCCTGAAGGAGCTGGAGGAGCTCTCAGGTGTCCAGGCATGTAGGGGTGGTCTCTGTTCCCTGCTCTCCTGGGGATCCTCTGGAAGGGATGGGCTTGGGCTTCTTCCCTATGAGGGTGGTGAGGGACTGGAATGGGGTCCCCAGAGAAGCTGTGGCTGCCCCATCCCTGGCAGTGTTCAAGGCCAGGTTGGACGGGGCTTGGAGCAACCTGGTCTAGTGGAAGGTGTCCCTGCCTGTGGCAGGGGTTGGAACTGGATGAGCTTTAAGGTCCATTCCAACCCAAACCATTCTGTGATTCTATGATGTCCCTGCACACAGGTTGGTGGGGATGTCCCATGGGGCTCCAGGCTTGCTCAGGAGCTCACCCTGTGCTCCTCACCCCACAGCTTCTCAACCAGCAAGAGCCACTACCAACAGCGTGTGATCCATCCAACGTGACCCACGGATATGTGCCCATCCGGGTAATGTGGAGGGGACTGCCTTGGTGACAATGGCTTGGGGGTGCCAGGCTTCCTGGGGAGGGTGTTGAGCCCCGTGCAAGGATGTGCCAGCCAGCGGGTGGCATGTTGGATTGCCCCTCCTGTGTGGGCTGCTCTCGGCTAGGGATGCTGAGCTGCCCCATTGTTTAGGTCTTCTCTATCCACTACAGAGGCTAAAGCATGGTTGTGTGGCCCTGGGAGGGGGTGATGGGCCCCACAGTTGTGCTGGGTGGAGCATTGTGGGGTGAAGCCATGCAACCTGCAGCTGGTGAGGGCTCTCCATCCCTTCCAGCACGGAGTCCAGCTGCACTTCGTGGAAATGGGGCAGGGCCCTGTCGTCTGCCTCTGCCATGGCTTCCCTGAGTGCTGGCTTTCATGGCGTTTCCAGGTGATGGAGGGGACAGGGAGGAGGGTGGACCACAGGGGATGCTGGTGGGGTGGTGATGGGGTGCCTGGTCACCACTCCTAGGGCTCCTGGTGGGAGAGTTTTGTCTGGGGGTTTCAGCATCCTTTGGAGGCTGCTGTTTTTCCTCCTAGATCCCAGCTTTGGTCGAT